AATTAAAAATAGAGACAAGAAAGGAATTATCTAATCAAACAGCTTTTAAATTGGATTGGACATTCTAAATTTTTGGGACCATGGAAGATGAGGAGCCAAATTAAATGGTCTTCATTTTGTATATATACTTTAACCCCAAAAATTTAATGCTTTGTGTACATGTTTTAAAATAGCCATCAATTTTGTTATTCAATGTGAAATGTTGATTGGATCATTATCAAACTTTTGTTCCACCCAGTTTTGGAGCAATTAACACACAAGCAAGGTGCAATTTTAAATAATAAACACATTCACAATGTCTAAATCGTTAGTAAAGCACGATTTCTCTTCTTAAAGAGCAAGAGAGATGAATCCTCGTAAAAGAGATTCAAATAATCCCACAGAAGAAGTATATGAGTACAGGGATCCAAATATTGAGAAAGCCATAGAACTTGACTATATTCTCTATACTACACCTAAATTTAGAGTCAAATTCATTTATTAACTAATTTGGTTTGGATAATTATCCACAATTTCAAAACAGAATATTGTTATGACAGGGTTTAGATAGGGTTTTAGGCGGTCACGTAGCCAACTGCTGTCATTTTCGTCTCGGTGAGTTTGTGCTGGACAGACCAAAGCAGTGGGGATCCAGTGGAAGAGAAGCTCCTGGCAATCAACCCCCAGAACTAGAGCGGAATCCTTTTCCAGTCAGCTTGAGCATCACATCTGGCAGCCACGACCAGTACTCCAAAGCTGGATCTTGTGTTAGAGATTACAAGGGGAAAAACTTTAAAAACATGCCACATTGTCTTGGTGTGGCTTTTCATTTGTTTTTTTCTTTCTCATCTACGGAGGGGTTTAAAGGTGAGAAAAGTTCTAGATGCATCCAGACCTAGCTATGGAGTCCGTGTGCGTCTCTCAATCCCCGTGGTTTCCAGTGGGGCAACTCAGCCGAAGCAAGAAGCGAGCCAGGGCAACTCTCACATTTGCTAGCAGCAGCAGTAAAATTGGCGAGATGGCTTCGACGGTGGCAGCAATCCCATCCCTTCACAAGGCGTGGGTGTACAAAGAGTATGGAGCTGCCAAGGACGTGCTCAAACTGGAGGAGCTTCCAGTCCCACCGCTCGCGCCCGACCAGGTCCTCGTCAAGGTACACGCAGCCGCGTTGAATCCCGTGGATTTCAAGCGGCGATTGGGCAAATTCAAGGCCACGGACTCGGACCTTCCCGTAAGTTTGCTCCTCTTTTCTTCTTCTCTCCCATTCCTTCTTGGAAGATTGAGCAAAGTGCTTTCAACTTATGTGGTCTTGCGCTACTTTTCTCGCAGACTGTTCCTGGATACGACGTGGCTGGAGTGGTGGCCAAAGTTGGAAGCGAAGTCTCGAGCTTGAAGCAAGGTGACGAAGTCTACGGTGACATCTCCGAGTTTGCGCTGGACAAGCCAAAGCAATGGGGATCCATCGCCCAGTACACGGCGGTGGAAGAGAAGCTCCTGGCAATCAAGCCCCGGAACTTGAGTTTCATCCAGGCGGCGAGCCTGCCTTTGGCGATCCAGACGGCACAGGAAGGATTTGACAAGGCGAAGTTGAGGGCGGGACAGTCTGTGCTCGTGCTTGGAGGTGCTGGAGGCGTTGGATCACTCGCTATACAGGTCTGGATTTCTTTGCTTACTCTTCTTTAACCTTTAAAATGCAGCTTGCAAAGTTTGTGTATGGAGCATCGCTTGTGGCAGCCACGACTAGTACTCCCAAGCTGGAGCTTGTCAAGTCTTTGGGAGCCGACATTGTTATAGATTATAAAGAGAAGAACTTTGAAGACATGCCGGAGAGATACGACGTTGTTTTTGATGCTGTTGGTATGTTTTCTTTTTTCTTTTTCTTTCTTTCTTTCTTTTTCCTTTTTTTTAATTTTTTGTAACATTTTATGGTTTTGTGCATCCAGGGGAGCCAAAAGGCACAAATGTTGTCAAAGAAGGAGGCACTGCTGTTGTTCTGACTGGGCCAGTAAATCCTCCTGGGTTTAGATTTGTGGTTACTTCCAATGGATCCAATCTGGTGAGGCTCAAAGACTTCTTGGAAAGTGGCACAGTGAAACCAGTGATTGATCCCAAAGGCCCCTTTGATTTTGGTAGTGTAGTGGATGCTTTTTGCTACTTGGAAGGTGGCAGGGCATCTGGCAAAGTGGTGATATCTGTACTTCAATGAAACCTTCTAAATACGGGTTTTAGGGAATATTTGTATATATTCTTATTACGTTTTCTGCTCTCCTTCATAGTTGCAAGCCATATGAACTCAGCACTCCATTTTTGCGTTACGTCTCCTACCGATAAGACGAATGTGCTGTAGGGTTGTTGTGTGGTTTCATTCAGATCCCAATGGCTACGATTTCGTTCTAAATGTCCAGTGCTCATTCCCTGGTTAAGTGCCACCCTCTGTATTCTTTCATTCGCCCAGGCTTGGAAGATTGGGCTGCAACTTTGGAGCTTGCGCATGGTGAAGGGAATCCCGAAAGTAGGAAACGCCTTGCTGCTGAGAAGGGAGTTCGAGCCACTTGCATTTTATCCCTGTTGCTGATGATTCCAGAGTTGAGAATATGTGCAAGCTTGCCTGTTGGTGCTTCCATGTTGATGATATCCTTGACGACTTGTAGGGCCTTGGAGCTGACTTTGGAGGTGCCAAGAGGCTTGTTGAGAGCTACCTTGGCATATCCATGCCAACGATTTTCCAACAGAGTGTCCGAGCTGTTGGAGGCAAGCGTGAATCAGGTGAAGCTGAAGAATCTGGGCTTGGAGGGGCTGCTGACTCACCGTCGCGTGTTAGTTGGTGTATTTGTTATGGAAACTAATGGAGTATGGCATGGGATTCAAACTCCAGGACGACGCCGTTTCAAATCAGGACCTCCAAGAAGCTGAATGACTAGTTGCAGACCACGTAAGTTGTGTCAACGACTTGTTTTGCTTCCTGGTGGACATTGCAGCTGGAGATACTCAGTTCAATATCGTCCACATGATTATGTGTGGCAATTCGGATTGAAGGAGCTTTTCTTTCGAGTACGCAGACGACAAAGCTCGATGATTCACAAACTGCTGACATGCTCGATGATTTCCGTTCATACAAGGCCTTTGAAAGAGGGAAGAGATCAAAGCTATACTTGGCCTATTGATTTCCTTCACAAAATTTCTCCAGGCTTCCACATCGGCTATGAGCAAGTCCTGCTCGATACCTCCTTTGCATATGCTTCCCATGTTGTTCACCCAAGTTCCACAGTAATTCAGGCCTTAACCGCCACAAGAATATTAGTGATGAGGGTGTAGAGCCAGCGTTGCACTGCCAGTCTCAATGTACCCTGGAAAATCTGCTTACAAAACATGCGCGGATATGTCATAGATTTAGTTGAGAGGGGATTGAAAAAGGCTACTTGATTTTCACAAGGTGAAAATCTTTCGGACCCCACACCCCGTTGCAAACTTCCCAGAGCTTCACTCGCACTCCTATACTGGTTTGCAAGAACAATCTTGGGGCCAAACCCAGCTCTGTGGTAGCATTCGTATATGTCGCTTTTGTTCATTAACACGAGTTAGAAAACACAATTCTTTGTGCCAAGGAACAATGAACTTTCTCCCTCTCTACAACTAGGCAGAGCTCAATGAGAAAAAATGCAAGCTAAATTCTGGGAAATGTATGTTTAAAATTTCAAAACTCCTAAGATTTGGATGGCCATTGAAAACGAGTTGGGTTAATCATCACAGGAAAGCCAGTGCTATGAATTCCTTGGTACAATTTCTATAACTTGGATTAGATCTGCAGTAACATGTATTAACATTCACCAATTTTGTGTGTGTTAGCAAGATAGCTATTAATAAGCATGGAATGTTTTTTGAACACTTTCCTCTCCCACAAAAACATATTGCCCATAACTTTAATATTTAAAACATTTTAATTTACAAACACAAATATCAAACTCTATATTGATATGTCCTGTATTTGGAAAATTATATATTGATTGAGTACCTTTAAGCAATTTGCTAGTAAGTGGCAATAATTTAATGCTGAAGTGTCACTCTTGATGAAATAATAATATAGCCACTATGACCAAACAATTCAAGAACCAAATAAAAAATATTTTGATATCCCATATGATCAGTTTTCTTAGAAAACTATCTTTATGATTTGAAAAGAAATTATAGTTATAATTTGAAAAGTCCTTTTCTATATTTTTAAAATTCAAATTTGAGAAACAAAAACATCACAAATACCAGTTTTTAATTCTTTCTTTATTCTTCATTGTCATAGGTAAAAATAAAATTTGGGGTATTAGTAGATATAAAAAACTTAAATAGATATATATATTATTTTATAATTGAAAATAAATACAATGTAGTAATTAATATAAATAATACAGTATTAAAATTAAATAATATTTGGTCGGCATTAAAAATTTATTCTTTAGTTGAAAAACATTGCAATACAAGCACCACCAATTACAATTAATAGTGAGTATTTTTTTTATTAATATTAATATTTATTTTTTATATTTCATAAGTGATTTTAATATATTAAACCCCAAAATGTTGGTCCTTTATATTTCTCGTAATTTTAATTTATAATTATTTATAAATAATAATTATTTTTTATAGATTTTAAAGGAATAGTATCTTGTTTAAAATTATACCAACTTTAATAATATTCCTTTCTTCCCTCCTAGGCAAAAGCAAAAAATTTTGTAACTACATAGAAATTGTTTTGAGAGTATGGAAGTTTCACACAAACTTTTAAGAAAATCAATGTCAAAACATAAATAGAAAAAATAAAAACAAAAAAAATGTGAGAAAGGAATTTATTATTGTATAGATGATTGTAACAAAAGTTTTATTGATATACATTAAGTTGGAAAACTAATTTATTCACTTTTACTGCAATTTAATATAAAGGATATATCTTTCATTATATATATATATATATATATATATAAAATATTCAAAATGAAAGGTCTTGGGTTTAGGGTTTATGGTATCTAGTTCTTAAAGAGAATGGAGGCCGATGGCACACAACTCAAGGAGGTTGAGACCCTTGCTGCTATCGGGGTGTGCTACATTTGGCTTCGGCAGCAGGCGATCGTTCTCAGGTGGGTTTAGATGCTCCAGTGGAAGCCGCTGGAGGAGATTGATCGATTTGTCCAGAACAGGTGTGGAAGATCGAAGCAATGCGGGTAGAATTGCAAAGAAAAAAAGCGCTTCAAAGTTAGAAAAAGAATTTCAGGGTAGTATAAAGCTTGGGGAGGCCTGGAAGGTATTTTGTCACAAGTTCTCAAGGGATTTTACTCTGGTGGAGGAGGCTACATGCTCGTCCCTTGTTCATGGATTCGTGGAAGCTGAGAAGCTAGCCGAGGCCGAGAAAGTTCTTCGAGTGATGTTTCAGCAAGGGATTTTTCCGGCTCCCTTGCTCTTCACCAGCGTCATCCAGGGATGGTGCAACGTTGGGAGAACTTTCGAGGCGGTGAAAATTTTCTCCCTGATGGAAGAGTGCCACTCTCCATACCCGGACGTTTACAACGTTCTGATAGACAGCCTTTCGAAGAGGCAGGAAACAGAGGCCGTAAAGAAGATGGTGCAAGTGATGGTGGACAGAGGGTGTTTTCCTGACTCGTTTACTTTCACCACCATCTTGTGTGGGCTCTGCAAGGCTGGGAAGATGGACGAGGCGGAGCTAGTTATGGACGAGATGAGAAGCAGGATGATACCACCTTACTTTGCAACATCGAGCTTTCTGGCGCACGAGCTATGCTTGCGAGGAAGCATGGAGCGTGCCTTTCAGCTACTGGAGATTATGCCAGTTGCAAACTCTAGCGCCTACAACATCGTCGTAGTGGCGCTTTGCAAGGCTGCCAGAGTGGACGATGCCTTGGAGCTGGCGAGAACGATGTCCGAGAAAAGAATACCTCTCGCGGCCGGTTCTCTCGACTCTGTTCTTGTCGGGCTCATGGATTCCGGACGGATAGACGAGGCGCTGCAAGTTTACAGGGAGAACAGGCGTGAGCCTTGTCTCGTCACCTTGAACGTGCTTCTCGAAGGATTTTGCTCGCGAGGACAAGTCGACAAGGCTCGCGAGCTTCTCAGAGCGATGCCCGACGAGGAGTGTGCTCCCGACGAAGTGTCCTACTGCACGGTTTTGGACGGGCTTTGCAAGGCCGGTCGCGTCGAGGAGGCAGTCCGGCTGTTTGGTGACAGAGAACTTCCGTCTAGTTCTTCTTCGAGTTCCTCGCCTCCAAGCCTCCGCGGATACAATATCGTCATCCTGGGACTGTGCCAAAACGATAGAATCGACGAGGCGGTCCAGATGTTCGAGAAGATGAACGAAAGAAACGTATCACCGGATAGCTGGAGCTATGGTATCCTCATCGACGGCCTCGCCAAGGCAGGGAAACTTAACGACGCTCGCAACCTTTTCCAAAAGCTTCTACACTCGGGAGTGACTCCCTCGACGGTGGCCTACACGAGTCTCATTCACGGGCTTTGCATGGCCAACAGCTTCGACGATGCTCGCGAGCTCTTCGCGGACATGAACCGAAGAGGCTGCCCTCCAAGCCCGGTGACTTACAACGTTATGATCGACGCGAGCTGCAAGAGAGGAATGCTGGAGGAGGCCTGCGACTTGATTAAGAAGATGATAGAAGATGGTCACGTCCCGGACGTGGTGACTTACAACACGGTCATGGACGGGCTCTGCAAGTCCAGCCGAGTGGAAGAAGCTCTCCTCCTGTTCAACGAGATGGAGCGCCTGGGCTGTACTCCAAACCGTCGCTCACACAACACTATCATCCTCGGCCTGTGCCAGCAGTCGAAGATCGATCAAGCCTGCCAAGTTTTCCACGAGATGGAAGCGAAAGACATACCACCGGATAGCTGGAGCTATGGAATCCTCATCGACGGCCTTGCCAAAGCTGGGAAGCTCAACGAGGCCTACAAGCTCTTCCAGAGGATGCTCGACTCGGGCATCACCCCCTCGGCCGTGACATACAACGTCGTGATCCACGGGATGTGCTTGGCCTACACTCTGGACGAGGCACTGGAGCTCTTCAAGAGCATGAGGAGCAAAGGCTGCCGCCCCAGCCGCTTCACCTTCAACATCCTGATCGACGCTCACTGCAAGAGAGGAAAGCTGGACGAGGCTTTCAGGCTGCTCAAGAGGATGACCGACGATGGCCACGTCCCGGACGTGGTGACTTACAGCACACTCATCTCCGGGCTTTGCTCCATCGCCAGAGTCGACGATGCCCGCCACCTTTTGGAGGACATGGTGAAGAGGCAGTGCAAGCCGACGGTCGTGACGCAAAACACTCTGATTCACGGGCTGTGCAAGGCGGGCCGGATCAAAGAAGCTCGAGAGGTGCTAGACGCGATGGTTTCCAGCGGGCAATCCCCGGACGTGGTGACTTACAACACGCTCGTCCACGGGCATTGCCGGGCGGGGCAAACGGAGAGAGCCCGGGAGCTCCTCTCGGACATGGTCGCCCGGGGGCTTGCTCCAAACGTGGTGACTTACACTGCGCTCGTCTCGGGGCTTTGCAAGGCCAACCGGCTACCGGAAGCTTGCGGGGTGTTCGCGCAGATGAAGAGCTCCGGCTGCGCTCCAAACTTGTTCACGTACACTGCGCTGATACTCGGGTTTTGCTCCGCGGGTCAGGTCGATGGAGGTCTCAAGCTCTTCGGGGAGATGGTCTGCGCAGGGATCTCCCCCGACCACGTCGTGTATGGGACGCTGGCAGCGGAGCTTTGCAAGAGCGGCAGGAGTGCTCGGGCGCTGGAGATACTCCGCGAGGGGCGAGAGAGCTTGCGGAGCGAGGCGTGGGGTGACGAAGTGTATCGCTTTGCCGTGGATGGTTTGCTCGAGGCAGGGAAGATGGAGATGGCGCTGGGGTTTGTGAGGGATATGGTACGAGGTGGGCAGCTCCCGGCTCCGGAGAGGTGTGCTAGTTTGGTGGCGGGGCTTTGTAAATCGGGGCAGGGAGGAGAGGCTCGAGCGGTGCTGGAGGAGATTATGGACTTGGCGTATGGTGGGAAGGCACGAGGCAAGGCGGCCAAGTTTGTGGAAGAGATGGTTGGCAAAGGATATGAGATTGAAGATGCAGTTTTGGGGCCTCTGAAGTAAATTAATTCTAGGTTTAAAGTTTAACATGATCATTTGAAGTTTAACATGATACCAGAATTCATTTTTATTGAATATCCTGAAGTTATATATTATAGCATTT